GAATTATATTCATGTATGTAAATGAGAAAAATCTATAAAGTCTAAAAATATGATTGGATTAAATTATATGAATTTTTTAAAATCCACTATTACTATGACACCGAGTCTAGCTAAGAATTAGTGTTAAATGCATAAAGCTATATGCATTTAATGTAAAAATAGGGTTGTAGAAAAAATATCTTTTCAAATCATTTTGTGATAGGTCTGCTATAATCTGAGAGAATATACAAATTCTGGCAACAAATTATATTAGTTCAACCCACTAATATGACATAAGTTAGTGTTGAAACAACTCCTGTCAAGACATTGACTGTTATAAAGGTGATATATAAAAGAGAAACATATAAAAAATTCACATGAAAATTACTTCCAAAAAATAGCAACATGACAGTAGCATAAGATAAACAGGATGTCCTATTGTATAGGGTGAGGGAAAGAAATAATTCTTCTTTTAATAAGAAAATCACCATTTACACAATAAGTCTGGGTGATTTGAAATGCATTTCCTTGCAGCACTTGACTGTGAACTCTGTAGTTGATTTGGTGGTGAAACTGAAGCCAAGGAGACTCAGCTAAATTTAGCCATTATTGATAAGGCACTAGAATTTAGGATAATTATAGAACTTCTTTTTTCCAAATATTAATTTTTAAGAAAACAAATTAATTTAAAATAATTAAAGACATATTCCCTTCTTAGGCAAATATAATTATGTCAAGTGATAGTGGATTTAAATATTAGGGGGGGAAATCACAATAATGGTGGAAACTCAGGAAAACTTAAGAACCTGCTTGATTTAAATGGACCATGAACCCCAATTCCAAGAATCCTGTTCAATAGCCTCATTTTTAGGCATGTGTTCCACACCACATAAAATAAAAGACAAAACAAAATGAAGCATTTCCCCAATGAAACAGTGTTATTTGAAATAACTAGGAATAGATGTAAGCATTCTTCTTATAAAGGTGGACCTTTAGAATAATTTTCTAAATGTCGCTCAATGTGATATTCCTTTATGGGAATGAAGAGTGTACTGGCCATTCACTAGCAGTATGTTATTACTGTCATTATGAATCCATTAGACATATTCAGGTAAGCTGAGTAACAGCCTTGTGACCAAATTCTCCTTCTCTGGCTTTTAATGTAGCATTTAATAGAACACAAATTGCTTCTTATTTATTTTTTTCCTATAGTAAATATTCTAAGAAAATGTAAAAGCCCTCTCCTTTGCCCTTGGATATCAATAGAAATGTTAAATGCAGCGAATTTTCAGTATTAAGTTGCTGCATTTGTATTGTTTATTATAATAACCAATAAAGCAGAGCTATGTCAGATAAAACTAGTAGGAGAGGTTATTGAATCCAGAATACTCGATCCTAAGTGTAAAGTTTGGGGAGTGGTGGGGAGATGTCTAATGCTTAATAAGAGTATGCAGTTTCCATTGTGTTTGGAATCCTCTATAAAAATGGTATAAAACACATGCACACATGTACAGATAATACAAATACACACATGCATTTGTTTGTGAAAGAGACAGGTGGCATGGTTGCAGTAGACCTTATCTGAGTTTGAAAGTTATGCTTGGAACACTCTAGTCTAGTTCTGTACTAGCTAATTTCTACCTGCCTTTCTTTGCCCAACAGCTCTTTCTACTAAGCCTGTTTTACCACCCTTGGCAGGTAGGACATGCAAGAGCGTTCAACCAATGACTGGCAGCTGGAGTCTTTACATCAGCTTCCATAACCCTTGAGTAGGATAACCCTGAAGTATATGTCCTATACTGGCTGCCAGAGTCTCTCCAATTTGAAAAAATAAAATAAATAAAGGTCCAGTCACTCACCACGGCAGCTTGCGTTAGTGACTCCCCTGTCTCCTTTCCAGACTGTCCTACTGAGAGTCCTTTACCTCCCAAATGAACTACTTTCACTCAAATCCTTGTCTTACCTTCAGCTTTTGCTTCTAGAAGAATCTAGACTAAGACATATGCCAACCATATGACTTTTAATTTAATAACCCTGGGAATATTTGAAATTTCAACTTAATACTTAGGTACAAATTACAAATAATTTTGCTTACACAAACCTTTTATTGTGATTTAATATGCTGTTCAAGTTTTTATAATGATCTGCACACATAATTGATGGGCTAAAAATGTAGGTATGAGATGTAGGCATATGTTTGCCTTAAAACTATACCAGGCTATTTCAAATACTACTAAATTCACCATTAATTTTGCCAGTTCAACTGTGTTTTTATTAATTCTCATCTGATGATATATTTTCCCCCAAGAGTTTTAGAGAGAGTGGAAGGAAGTGGGAAAGACAGAGAGAGAAACATTGATGTGAGAGAGATACATCCATTGGTTGCCTTCCGCGTGCCCTGACCAGGGCAGAGCCAGGGATTCGAGCCTGCAACTAAGGTATGTGCCCTTGACTGGAATGGAACCCAGGATCCTTCAGTCCACAGGCTGACGCTCTATCCACTGAACCAAACTGGCTCGGGCTAAACTGTGTTTTAATCATTGTATTAACCTTATAATGTTTTTAAATGTCATAAAAATAGTAAGAAGTGTTTCTGCTTGTTATGTATTGATATCCTGCCAATAGCAATTGATCAATCTGCTAATCTTGTAGCATTCATCCACAAGGAACAATGGGAACAGTCAAAATATTTTCCTTAACTTTTAAAAAACTTAAAAAACAAACAAACAGATCACCATCCATCAACCATCTAGGAAAATGACTCCTTTCATGACTCCATCACAGCTTCATTTCAAATTCAGCAGAAACCTAAGACTTAAAGCTGCCATCTCACTCATGTTACCATGGGAATAGACCTCAGATCAGGGAAAAAGAAATAGATGGGGTTAGGAGCTCTCAAATAATCATTCAAAATCATGATGAGGGTTTTAGAGCTTCTTTCTTAGGTGATGATTTTGTAGCCTCTTAACCCCTTTTTGCCGGTCTGTTTCCATGGAAATATGACAGAAATGGCTGTACAAGCTTCCTGCAGAGACCATTAGCGTTCATGTGAATTTCAGCTTCCGCTGCAGTCTAGGCTGGGCAAGATCTTTTTTCTATCAGTTTTACATATTAACCTACACTGTTCCTACACTTTGGCATTTCCTTTCTAATTTCTACTTTCTTTGAAAATTCTCTTCACAAATTTATAGCAAGATCACATTGATTTGTGATATCACTGGACAAGGCTTCAGGTTTACATTTTAATATATGAACCAGGACATGTAGCCGCAGAGTGTCAGAACTTTTAGAGGCCTACAGAGGGAAATATTATTTAGTTACTAGACTCAAAGTCTGATAGATAGGTTTGGTGTTATCATCATAATTAGCTAGTTAATGTTAGTAATAGGAAGAAAGCAAAGGGGAGGCCAGACATTGTAAGCATGGCCATCTGGGCAGAGTCAGCAGGAAGCTACAGCTTCACACTCCCCAGGAACCACCAGTCCATTCCCTGCAGATCACTGCGGGGAGTGATTGAACAAAGGGATGGACATGCACAGTGAAGTCAGAGTGACAAAGGGGAGGTGCTTGCCTGCCAGTCTGGATAAAAGGATCATTGGCTAGGAGGGTGGTAGCCACTACAAGGTGAAAAATCTTGGAAGGGAAAAAATACCCAGAAAGAGTCTTCTTACTCCTTTTTCCCTCTCGCCCTCTTGTTCTGTGACCTGCACTCACCATGTGCTCACCTGTTCTCTCTCCAGAGCCATGTGGCCTTAAGCAGCTGCATGGCCCATGGCCATGAGGACCCCACACACAATGGACTACATCTGGAAACACAAGCTAAGCTAGCCAGATGCGGACTAGACTGGACTGTATTTTAATTTGGAACAGATATTCTGGATAGTGGCCTTAATCCTGGCCCTGCTGAAGACAAGATTGAGCTTTTTCCATGGCAAGGCGGGATTTTGGAGGGGAACCCTGTTTATTTTACATCATCAAGCTTTCTATGAAACCCTATCCTCCCATGGGGGCCTCTGCTAATTACTTTTCCAAGAACTCCACGTTCACTGATAACATTGATAGATATGTAACAGGGGTGATATTTAACATATTTAGTAATTGATAAGGCATGGCACCAACTGATCAGAGTAGCAGGTTTGTATTAGCTCATTACCAGCCCCATTACTACCAATAATAATTTAAACTAAAGTAGTTCTACGTAAGATGGTTAGCATCGTACCCAGATAAAATCTCTAAGGTCACACACTGAGCTGCTATAAAATTTACAAAAGAGTTTATAACAGGAACTGGGTAGAAATAACAGCATGCTATGTGTATAGCTTCATCTCTCCTACCTACTGAAATTTGCTGAACAGCTCAATCCACAGGTTTTGCCCGGGGAAATCTTAAAGTTCTGATTGACCTTATAAAGTACTTTTATTCTTCAGAACTCTCTTATTTTATAGTTACAGTTTTTTACCTTTAAGATCTTGTCTTCTGAACTTGAATAAAAGTAAATTTCAATGGGTAATTATTTGATTTAGCTAGATTCCTAATTTAAATTCAATACAAACTAAGTTACCACATTAATTACTCTCTATTGATGTTTTCAACTAAACAGGTCATAACAACAATAATATCCAGTGCCCCAATAATTTTTCAAATCATCATCACTACTCCTAAATGCAGTTTGTCATATTAAACACATGGCCCTTGCGGGCAGGGTTTGGCCTGCAGGTCAAGTCTGTACTTCAGATTATTTGTGTAAATAAAGTTTTATTGGAACACAGTCATATCCACTTCTGTGTTTCCTCTGTCTATGGCTGCATACTTATTAAAAAGACAGAGTCGAGTAGCTGCCACAGAGACCACATTGCAGAAGAGCCTATTTATTCTCTGTAGTCTTTTAAGCAAAAGTTTGTGACTCCCAGCTCAAGCTTTTGATTTTAATAAGATTATAACATTTTTAGAGTCCTTTATTTTAATTCTAAAAGCAGTATTTAATAATAGACAAAAATGAGATTGCCTATGTCTGTACTTACGTCCATGAATTCCACATTGGCTTTGGGACCAGTTGTTTCATTAAGAATCTTAATAGCCACGGGAATCTTCACTGTTTCTCCTTCAGGTACCCAGATACCCTTTGAGGGGAAAAAATTTCACATTAAATCTTTATTAAAACACATACAATATTCAATCTAGGAACAAAATTTGATTTAACACTCAACCTATTAATTCCTTAAACATAATTTACAAGTTCTATATTCTTTCATGTAATCAACAAATATTTATCAAGCACCTGTTTTATGTTACAAGTTACTCAGCAACTTTGTCTGCTTTTGTTATCTGAAGATGAATTGTACATGTGTTCTGCTTTCAGGGTGTTTACACTATTATAAAATTCCATTTGTGTGCATAAAAAGGCGGTGAATAGTGAAAACTCATTGAAACAAGATATAATAATATATTTGATGTGAATTATATCATCAACTTTCCAAGACTTTGAGAAGGCTGTTCCAATTTTTGAACTTCAATTGTCTCATTTGTAATTTAGAAGGTTGGACTAAGTAATACTGGAGGTTCTTTGCAGCTTTAATATTATCTAATTAATTCTGAAACCAGAAAAAGAAAAAAAAATGTTCTCATGTTCCTGAAGTTTAATTTACAAATTAATTTTCTAAGGTGATTATTTAAGAATTAGTTTTCAAAGGCAAATACTAGGGAGTATTAAGCACATATTGATTTGTCTATATTATTAAATAGTGTTCTGTATCAAGGATTTTTATCTCTGAAGTAATATAAAATACTAGAGGCCCAATGCACGAAATTCGTGCATGGGTAGGGTCCCTAGTGGCTGCCGGCTGCCAGCAAAGGCCTCCCTTCCCCCAGCTGACTGCCGTGGCTGCACTATCCCACCGGGGAGAGGAGCCTTGGGTGGTTGGCCAGCCGGCCCCACCTCCTGGTCAAACTCCCGGTCCTAAATTTGCATGTTAGGCTTTTATTATATAGGATTTATTTTGGCCATTGCCAGTTCTTTCTTCTTATGGAAATGTAATTATAATATCTAAACAGGATCTGTATATTGGAAAAGTATACAGAGTTTAAGTAAAGTACAACATTAAACTAAATAACAGGATTTCTGCATAAACAACTAACTCGTTTGATTAAGGACCATGATTTTGGTAAGGTTTAGTTGGATGCATGTATTACACAAGAATTTTTTTTTTCATTCTCAAATTATATTGAAATAATATTCAACTATCAGGTGACAGACTGCTGGCTGAGGAAAAATTGATCATCCTTTAACAGGTGACAAGGATTATAATAATTAATATTTATTGAGATATTTTGTGTACCACACAATTTATTGGATTTCTCATAATACTCTGAGGTAGGTGCTTTTTTAAAAATTTATTTTTATTGTTAAAGTATTACAAATGTCCCTTGCTTCCCCCATTGACCAGTTCCACCCTGTACCACTCCTCCCAGGCCTACACTATTGTCTGTGTCCATGGGTTATATATCTAAGTTCTTTGGATAGTTTCTTCCCACTCCCTTCTCTCCTTCCCTCTGAGATTCGTCCATGCTCTGGATCTATTTTGTTCGTCAGTTTATGTTGTTCATCAGATTCCACATATGAGTGAGATCATGTGATACTTGTCTTTCTCTGACTGGCTTCTTTCGCTTAGCATAATACTCTACAGGTCCCTCCATCTGTCTCAAAGGGTAAGAGATGCTTCTTTTTACAGCTGCATAGTATTCAATTGTGTAAATGTATATTTATACAATATACAAGAATATTTTTAAAGAATATTGTCTCCAATGAACACATAAGGAAATATGAGGTTATATTTAAAAAGTCTCAAATTTTTTATTTGTTAGCTCTGAAACTGAAAGAATCATCTTAGGTCAGTTTTAACATTAAAATGAAAGAAAGAAAAAAAAACAGTCTGTGATTCCTGAACAGAACATCTCTACTTCATGTCTTCCTTAAAGTTAGCTGGTTGTAGTCATAAAGAAAAGATTACACTTTTTTCTACATTGTATTTCTATGCAAAATATGTATTTGTGATACCCAAAGTTGTAATAAGGTAAGGGGAGATCTAAACAAGAATTATTAAAGAGTCAAAATAATAAAGAAAAAATGGACATAAACCTTTAGAATGTGAATATAAAGGTTATATTCATTTTAGAATGAAAAGGGAAATCTGTATGTCAAGTGCAAAAAAACAAGTTTCCTGTTATATAACAATTTTCAAAAATCATTAATGCTTAAATGGGGGGAACAAACAAAAGCCCATCATCCATAGGCTACATTTTCTCAATGATGGTTCCTAGGGTGGAGAACAGAATTACTATTTTTCAATAAGGTAACATCAGAGAGATTAACCTATAAAGCTATTGCATCAATATTAAAATATTCCTAAAGCATACTTTTGAAGTAAAAACATGAATTCAGTGTTAACTAATTTGCAATGCTTTTTAAATAAGTATAGTCATTAATTTCTAGGTCCCACCAGGCAAAGATACCCATAATATCAGTTCAAGGTTGCGTTGGTGGTATAGTGGTGAGCATAGCTACCTTCCATAATATCAGTTCAAATCTTTTATGTTTAAGCAGAGAATATATCCAACCAGGAGAAATAATTAACCAAATAATTGCCTAAGTCAATTTGCACTGTGTAGTCAAAAATAATTCTTTATAGTTTAAACAGTATGTCCTTGTAAGAATTAACATATTATTTAAGACATAGGGTTAATGATAGACACACTACAGTTATGACTCAAACATCCTTATGGAACGTTCAATAACCTTTCAATGCAAGTAATTTTCATAAAGGTACAACATCATGGTCAATAGATAAATATTTGTTCTTAGTGAAAATATTAATAAAGCTTTTTAAAAATCCCTAAATGGGTAATATTTTCCCTGTTGAGATCACAAGGTCATATTTAGTATTGAATCATATGGTACCAATGATTTAAAATAATATTCAATTTCCAAACCATATCATTTTTGAAAAAAATATAAGCGTGATAGTCTGCTGGAAACAATTAACAACTGAGTTGTCTTATAAATGGAAGTCCATTTTTTTCTACCATAATAAAAATAGAGAAACAGGATAAATTGTGTTTCTTTGAACATACAAAGAAATGATATATAGAAGGCATCAAGTAGGCCTACAGTCATTTCTATTCAATTACATGCTTAGTTAATAATTTCATTACCAATGTCTCCCCAATAATTCAATAAAAACTCAAGGAAATGAAAATAATAATAATAGTAATTTTGAATTTAATTGAATAAAAGATGTATACTAAAATATTAAGAAACTTAACCTTAGGATAAAACAATTTTTAAGAAAGAAATTTTATTGCTTTTGAAACATTCAGTATAGAAAATTAAGATTTATATTTTAATTTTTAAAATTTTGTTTCAAAATTTTTGTCTTAAATAGAAAAAAATAAACATTTAAAAATGCAAAATTTCTAAGATCCCATCTATTTTAACAGATCCTTACTAATAATAGTCTAAGTAATTGTCACACCGTGATGCCTTCACGCCGTCACAAGATGGCTGCACGCACAGTGGGCGTATGCAGGTGGGTGGGGCTGGGCTTGACGCTGCATGTGAGGCATGGAGCCTGCCTGGGAGTCTCACCTCCTTGAGGCGTGGGCTGCCTAGGAGTCTGGTGAGGCCTGCCTGGGGGTCCTGCCTCCTCCCAGCTCCGTGTGGCGAGGCCGGCCTGAGGGTCCTGGGGATCCCCGCCTCCCGGCTCCACAGGGCGTAGAGGTGTGACCCCTGGATCCGGCCTACTTCTTCCGGGCAATCCATGGAGGAGCCCAAGATGGGTGGGCGGGGCCAACCTCTTTGGGACGATTGATTGCAGGGCTCCCACACTGATAGGGCACAGGCCAGGCTGGGGGACCCCCCACCCGAGTGCATGAATTTTGTTCACCGGACTTCTAGTATGTTTATAAAAATGTAGGCTTGCATGTAGCTTTAAGAAATATATAAAACTGGCAAAGTAAATTTGGAAATTGGAAGAATGAATATTACAAGAACTATTTAGCACTGACCAAGCAGAATTTCTTCTTCGTGTTAATTACCATCGAAAATAAATTTCACCACTGTTAATTATGGGCCTGGACGATGAATTGGTTTTGTGATTAAGCTAAAAAGTAAACATACAAATGCCACCATTTGAACTCTCCCTTTCCAGAAATGCTTCTCTTATTGAAAACGGGTGATGTTACCCTCTCCTTCTGTCTGACCTGAATTTCACAAAAATACTCACTTTTTTAGTTTGCATACAATGGTGAGGATGTAAAAACTGGATATTTTTCTATTAAATCATACATGTTACCAGAAAGACAAAAAGTGGTTTAGGTACTAGTCCTGTCCTACTAAGGAGCCAGCACACTTGTGTGGATTCTAATGAGATTAGCTAAATGGGGAGAAGTTTGAATGAAAGAGAAGAAAAGAAGAGGGAGCGATTGCGACACATACCTGGCCTGTCTGGGATTTTGTAAGAGCTCTGTGTAGGGGTTGGGAGCTGGATATTTTGGATGAGGGTAAAATTTGTCCGAGGGGAGATGATATCAAAAGGGGCTCCAAGGTGTTGAGGGAAAGAACTAAACTTAGGCTTTGTACCAATGTTTCCTGCTCTCTCACATTTGTACCCATTCCCAACATGATTAATAAAAACTAATGAATTCATTTGTGCATCAACATCTCCATATTATAAGGCTTCTCCTCTCTGGATATTAAAGGGGAATTAAGTTGATTAGAGCAATAACTCTGGCTATTAATTAAAACAAGTATGGGGCAAACTTAAAATAACTGATAGTACATATTAATTTTTTACTTACTTTATACACGGTTCCAAAAGCACCTGAACCAAGTACTTTTACTCTTTTGAGTTCAGTTTCTTTCAAAATACGAAGTTGAGCTTGATTGGGCGCTGTGCCACTTGGAGTTAAGGGTTCTACCAACTAAAAATAAATAAATAAGACAGGTTACAACTTCCAATCCAACAACCAGTGCCTCTCTCTCTTTCTCTATCCCTTGCTGGTTCCCATTCTCACACATACAAAAACACACAAGCACGCTTTTTCTTGAAAAACAATATTTTTGTAAGATGGATGTCACCATTCCTTCAGACCCTATCCTTTCTCTGCTCCTGCTCTTTGACTTGGTGAGCTGGAGTTATACTGGGCTAGGAGATTCCCATCCCCCCATTTTTAGAAAAACGTAGAGACTAATTAGAGGCTCTTCATTCTACTTTTTCAAGCCCCTTTCTTTTTGGCATTTCCAGCTAAGACTTAGATGCCTGCATACTCTAGTGAAGTTTTCTTTCTCATTTAAGATGGTTTGGCAGATCAAAACATGAAATGGTGCCTACTTGGCACTTAATAGCCAGAGTAAACATGTCAGAAGAGAGGGGGAAAAAAGAGTTAGCACAATGCCAATACTCCTGGACAGTGCTTCCAAAACTTCCATGTACATATCAATCACCTGAAGCCCTTGCTAAATGGCAGATTCTGGTTCAGCAGGTCTGCAGTTGGGGCTGAAATTTGCTTTTTACAGATCTCCCAAGTGATTCCTCTGTATGATGATGGTCCCTAAACATATTTTAAGTTGCAGGACCTAGATATCTTCTAGATCAAAAATTCTAAAATGCTGTGAATCTATTCTAGATCATGAGTGAATGCTAGGAAATGCAAAGGAATAAAACTACACCAAGGACTGAGATTCATGAGGTTTGGTTTCCTGAAGGAAGAATGCTAAAACTGTTCTTGAGATGATGAAAAGCAGGTTGTCATGAAAAAGGACATTGACATCATGAACAGTTTAGACACAGCATCAAGGAGAAGGAGGGTACCACAGGGAGTGGAGCAGGTCTGAAGGGTGAGGACCACAAGAGGATGATGTGGACTGGGTGTGGCTGAAGGAGGTAAACTTAGGCTGGTACTGTTAGATGTCATAGTTTACGTGCCATTCAGTCAGAGAGGGTGAATAAGCAAGGGGAAAGGTATGTGAATGTGTGCCAATGTCTTGCTTATGTGAGGAAAAAAAATGTAGACAATGAAGAGATCCTGGCACCACAACGTCTATATATCCTATGTTCAAATTTTAGATGTTTAATTATGCTTAAGGAAAAGGCAAGTGAAATAGAAGTTGCTGTTTTATTAAGTTAAATAAAGGAGCTAAATTTTAAACACAGACAAATAGCTTGTACTTTATCAGCATAAGGGAGTAATTAAGGGCTACTCCTACTCAAATTATCTTGAAAACCAGCACAATATTACAAGATGTCTGTTTATAGGGGTAAGTTCACCGTGGCCCTCCAGTGTGGTTATTATTATGCTTCTGTGAACATCATGGTTCACTGAATTTAGCTGCACAGAGTGTTGAATGGAGGTAAGCTTAGCCATGGCAAGAATTTTGGGAAGAAGATGATAGAAATTATCAATAAACTTAGGTTGTTTTCTAACAGTCTGACAACAAATACACTTTTATTTCATCTTCACATTTACATTGTTAAAACACATAACTGCATTTAAGTCACATAAAAGAAATCTTAGAAACAAATCACAAACTTTTTTGTTAAATCTGAAAAAAAAGAGTATCCTGAAGAGAATCCCTTTGATTTGAATTCGCCTCTGTTGTGTAGCATTTGGTTAGTATATTTTGATAAATACACAATGAGTAAGTTTTATGAATTATTTTTAAAAACCCTGTTCAAAAGTCAAATAAAATCATCTGCAAGATTAGAGACTAGATTTCCTACTTCAGGCTAGCTTTATTTAAATATATATATTGTATCCGTGCTGTGGCATAGACAATGCAATCATTTCATATTTTGAAAGCTTCACAATTCTACCTGAGATGTTTAGTCTCTTATAATTACCTGGGGTATCATTTAAAATTGTCTTAAAACATGTTGCTTTTCCCTCCCAGGAATTTGAGTATTATACCTTTTAATAAAGGATAGTTTCATTTTGTGAGCCAAAATAGTGGAAAAAGAGTTACATTTACAGTCATAGGTTTGTATACCAGGGCTACCATTCACAGGCTTAGAAAGCAACTTATCCTTCTTGCCCCCTCATTCCACATCAGTGAAACAGGTAAACCAATAATTACCTTAGAAGATTGCTAAAGAAGGCAATGGTATATAATATAGAGTGAAAACTTTGGAACATTGCCTGTCATATGTAGGCACTGAATCTGTCACTCTTCCAGGGGTAGGATCAGCTGTCATTAATACATTACAGCATCTATCAAAGCGTCAAGCTCACAGTGCATCTCAGTAAGTATGTGTTGGAAAAATATACATTTCCTACTTTTATTTTGTAACAGAAGAAAGACAAAAATCTGAAGCAAAAGTTTTGGAAAAGTATGGAAACTTGAAATACATTCTAATATACCATGCTTTAATAAACTGTTCACTGGTGAGTCAAATTTCCAGCTTCAATATTAAGGATTTAAGTCAATCCTTTTAAAAATTTCTCTTCTATTGCCCAACCAGCATGGCTCAGTTGTTGAGCATTGACCTATGAACCAGGGGGTCATGGTTCAAGTCCCAATCAGGGCACATATCCAGGTTGCAGGCTTGATCCCTAGTGTGGGGTGTGTAGGAGCAGCCAATCAATAATTCTCTTTCATCATTGATGTTTCTCTCTCTCTCTCTCTCTCTCTCTCTCTCTCTCTCTCTCTCTCTCTTCCTCTCTGAAGTCAACAAAAATATATTTTTAAAAAATCCCTCTTCTATTTAGATGGTAAAAAATCATAGGTATTTACTTATACTGAGAGAAAGATAGGAATGAATTCAACAGTTACCTAATTTAGTCCTACATAACTTTCTACATAAATAGAATTTGTAGAAAACTTTCTGCATAAATAGAATTTGCTTTTGGAACCAATCAGTATAAGTTTATTTAGTAATAAAATCCCAATTTGAAGGACATTCTTAGAAAGCACCATAGTAACAAAACAAAACAACTCTTTTCATAACAATGAGTTTTTCTGTACCTGGTTAAGAGACATAATTTTTCTCCTATATATTCCATCACCTAAATGTCCACGGCTGTCCCAAGCCTTCAATTCCTCTCCAAATATTATTTATTCACTTTTCAGAATTCTCTCGCTGACTGCCCCAAGCTAAACATGAGGGATATTCTATCTGCCTCCAGCATCCTACCTAAGCTGAAAATACACACAGCACATGCACTGTGCTCATCACATGTGTGAGCGTGAAACCAAGTTGCTCTGTAAACATCCAACTCAACTAGAAATCACTACTATGTTGTCCCATGTATACAACTAACTACCTTTTGAAAGTTTACTCATATCTATTGATGGGACAGCCCATTCTAATTTTAAACAACTCTAATCCTTAGGAAGCATTTTAATATATCTAACTATAAAGTAGCTTCTTCTATCTAATTATGATTTCTTGAGAAAAAGCTAAAATTTAATTCATTATCTGTGCAAAATTTATGAATGATTGAATATTTCCATTTCTGTTATTGTTAGGAGGAAAAATCAAGACTGTCACACTGCCAATTAGAAAAAGAAACAAAACCCAAGGAAGGCTATGTCTCAGAACAGATCAGCTCTGAATAGCTCAGCCTGGCAGGAGTGTGTGTATCAGGAGGAAGCGATAGTATTCCAGTTACGAAGAATCTGGTAATACATATTCTTCTGTAATTGTTTTTTCCCTATAACCAGTACAGTGAAAGCTATCAGCTTTCATGCTAGGGAACTCATAGCAATAGAAAAGAAATTATAATAATATATGGTAATTTACATATTCACAGTAACTAACATGCACAATATTAAATGCATCTCATAAATTGTGTGGTAAGGTCTGTGTGATTACAACACTAAGCTTTATCCTGTAAGCTCAGCCTTTCACTGCTGGAATAATGACCCCAATTAAAGCATAAACTGCTTGCCTGTCTGGCTTTATTTTGAACCAGAAAAAAACTATCCCTAACATTTTTCTAGATCTGCTACTGAGATATCCTCTATCCAGATAATTTCTAGATATACTAGAGCTTGATAATGGGACCCCTCCCCCAAAGAAACATCTGTCTTTTCCTCAATAAGGTAATTTCCTTGACCTCTGCTTTTGATCCTCTTTAAGCCATGAACATGCCTTGATTACTTTTACTATATACTCTGATTCTTTCATCAATTTTATATAACCTACTATAAAATATAAGCCCTCTGAACAAAATTTTCACTAGAATTAAAAATTGAGTATCTTTTAAAACCTCCAAACCTAGTGAAAATCCCTAAACACATGAAGAGAAGAAATAAACAGGTCACCTCTGTTTCCAGGAATCTTCTCAAGGCTCTTTTCTTCTTGATGCTCTTTCTTCTCGCATAAACTGCGAACGTTAGACCCATGATGACCAGGATAAAGAGCCCTCCAATGACTCCGGCTGCAATTAGAGGAGTTCTGCCAACCAGAATGGAAAAAAAATATGAAGAGAGAAAAGACAGAGGAAGAGCAAAGAGCCGTTGTATATATCCACATATGACAAATCTAGTCAGTTAGATGTAATAAAAATAAAAATGCTTTAGAGCTATGGCAAAACTTTTATGGTTAAATAAGTAGTTGTTTTTTCAAGTAATAATTCATGCACATACAATTAATCTTGGGATATGAGCAGCCACACATGCAATTTCATAAAAAAATAATATAAAACGTGGTAACAATGAAGAACTAAGGCCAAAATGTTAATATATGAGCATTTTAAATTATTTTAATGTAACTTTTATCTATAAGTGAATGGAAAATACATCTTAATTAGATTGTGATATTAGGTAATATTATTTTCAACATTTTCTCTAAAATAGTGGCACATTTGGCATTTTGGGCTTGATATATTTGTTGTGGGGGACTGGCTTGTGCTTTTTAGGATGGTTAGGAGCATCCTTGGCCTCCACCCACTAGGTGTCAGTAGCACCTCTATCTTCCAGCCATGACACTATCTCTAGACATTGTCAAATGTCTACACAAATCACCCCTTGTTGAACCTCACTCCTCCAAAATATGAGGATACCACTAAGAGAGATGTATTGGCAGAAGTGCTATTTCAAACTCTGGCAAAGGCAACTCTGTTGACAGGAGAAAGATAAAAATTGAATCAGAGTTATAATGACAGGAGTACATATTATTATCAAAAGTGTGCCTAAGCATCATTTGGCCATAAATCAGGTTTACAAATTAGGTTTTACATAAAAAGGTGTTAATAGAACCAAAGAGGGATTAGAAAGAGACTGAGTAGAGATTTTTATCCTTAACATTGTTGGCTAAGATGTAGTTTTGTTTTGAAATATATTTTTATTGATTCCAGAGAAGAAGGGAGAGAGATAGAGAGATAGAAATATCAATGATGAAAGAGAATTATTGATTAGCCTCCTCCTGCATGCCCCACACTGGGGATGGAGCCTGCAACCTGGGCATGTGCCCTGACTGGGAATTGAACCGTGACCTCCTGGTTCATAGGTCAATGCTCAACTACTGAGCCATGCTGGTCGGCAAGATGTAGTTTTAAAGTGGATTTTTATTATTTTTTAAGATAAAATATTAAAATTTAATTTAAAAATATTTCTTTAAAAGTAATATTTGTGGTTTTAACTTCTTGTTCTAGAATACAATATTATCTAGTAGTATATATGTATTTCTGTATTTCAGAAAATATTTTAAATTTTCAACTCAAGGCATAATTTTCAGTTCAAATGTTCAACATATCCCTGAAAAGCCACTATTCTACAAAAGGGTGTATTTTTGTTTCCTCAGCCCAATTATTTTTTTTTATATTTTATTGATTTTTTACAGAGAAGAAGGAAGAGGGACAGAGAGTTAGAAACATCGATGAGAGAGATCGATCAGCTGCCTCCTGCACGCCCCCTACTGGGGATGTGCCCGCAACCAAGGTACATGCCCTTGACGGGAATCGAACCTGGGACCCTTGAGTCCGCAGGCCGACGCTCTATCCACTGAGCCAAACCGGTTAGGCAAAGAACGCGACGGTGAGAGCGCCGAATCCTAACCACTAGACCACCAGGGACTGTCCTCAGCCCAATTTTTAATTGCAAAGTATTTAAGCATGATTTAGAATAGTGCCCAACATTTTGTTAATTCTAAACTTACACTAAACTCTAAACTCATCATGTTTATTTTGCAAAGAATAAGTGATATGTATTTATAAAAATATATGTCAATATCACTGTAAATGATAAGAAATTATCTATTTGGTATTTATTTATTTTTTTCTGTGTGTGTTAAGAAGGATCACTAAGTATGGACCAGAAATTGGAAATATTGGGTTATGAAACAGTAGGATTTTAAGTAGGGAAAAATTGAGACTGTGTGTGTGTGCGCGCGCGCGTGTGTGTGTGTGTGTGTGTGTGTGTGTGTGTGTGTATGCATAGATGCATGTAAAAATATCTGGAATAATATACAATAAGACACTAATCAGTAATTGTCTCTGAATAGTATCACTATGGTGCTCTTATTTTTGTGTATTTACTTGTGGGAATTTTCTAATTTTCTACAATGTATTTATTTCATTTTTGAAATAAAAGTTTACTAAATTAAAAAAAACACACACACACAAAAAATAAATCACTGTCTAAACCAAGCATTTCAAACTCGCGGCCAGTGGGCCACATGCTTTGCTTATTTGGGCCGTGTTAGCCTTTGAGTTTAACATGCTTGGTTTAAAAGTTTATTTTTATAATACTGACTTTGTTTTCTTTTCTTTCTTGAATGTTTATTTGGTTATTTTATTGTTTTAAATATATTTTTATTAATTTTAAATATATTTTTCAGAGAGGAAGGGAGAAGGAGAGAGAGATTAGGAACATCAATGATGAGAGAGAATCATTGATTGGCTGGCTCCTTCCTACATGCCCTTTACTGGGGACTGAGCCCGCAACCTGGAAATGCCCCTAGGACTAATGCTGGCAATTGCCAACTAAACTATATTTCTGAAAGTATTGCCTCTTATATATGTGAGCAACAAATGTTTATCCATTCAATTGTTAGACCAATTTAGAGAATCAAAGAGACCTCAAGCTAACAAGTCTTTATACAGTGTGTGTGTGTGTGTGTGTGTGTGTGTGCATGAATGGTTCATAAATTAAGGTCAGAAAGATGATTCTCTGTAATCTTATATATATTTTTAAAAGATATAATTAGGTAACATTGCTATGATCCTATACTTTAGCTTCCTTCTGACAAATTAATAGTGGCCATCAGATAAAAGCATGAGTCTAGCATAAACCAGAGGTTAAATGTATTTTCAGCAATGTACTCCATGTTTCTTAATTTGCTCTTGCTATCAGAAAACATATAGTTGATCAAAAATACGTTGCTTCTTTATTTAAAGAAAATGCTTAAAATCACTTGTCAACTGAGATAGAAAACACAACTCTGAAAATAACATTTTCAATAGTGTATTAACTATGGAAGCAGTTTAAAAATAGCAAGTTTATATAGGAGAAACATAAGATTTGATTGACATCAAAGTCAAGGTACTGATGGGTTTTATAAAACATGTAGTGTCACTAACAATTCACTTCATTTTCAATGGGAAGTAATCTAATAGAAATGAAAATGTCAGACTTTCTCTCCAGATATAGAAAACATTCACTTCCAAAGAGCTAAACCAGAGATTTATTTTGTCCTATACACTACCCTTAAATTCAAATAATTTAAATAGATTAAATATAAACTTTCCATTCTAATAATACTTGTATATTTTTCATGAATATTTCTTTTTACAAGCATTATCTACTTTTACAATAATATGTAAAATAGACCTTATAACCTCCATACTTAATAAGAAATAGACTCTCAATAGTTAATATACCTAGATAAGTTCAAACATAAATGATAATGCTAACATTTTACATCTTAGAATCTCAAGTCCCTTAATTTTTTTTAGTTATGTCATGTTGTCTCTCTTTCTACATATGATTCAATCGAATTGTTTTTTAAAGTAGCTAAATATGATTCATCAGATTTTTCTTCAATACCTGTATTTGATAGTAGAGAATAAAAATGCACGTGTTTATTTAGGGGTTCTAATAAATTCTTTGATTTTATATTTACTTACATCTTACTACTGTGATTTTCATCAGATTTTTGTTTCATCTGCATTGCTATGTTCAGTGTGTTTTAAATTTAATAAAGACTTTATGCCCTTATTGGAGTTTGTAAGTGACATTATTCTTTACTTAGATTCATTTCATTTGTTTTCTCAGTTAAGGGGGTGTTTTGGGGGAGGGGGGCTTTAAAAATTGCATTTCCTTTAAGAAAGGCAAGGACAAGCAGTGTCTGTTATCCTACTGACAGTGCCTCTGAGCTGCTACTCTCTTCAGTCTTCCCCAGAGCAGCTTGGATTTAAAACAGGAGGCCTTGAAGCACTAGGAAACACTGAAATTCCACACAAGACATTTTAAGGGTTACTGCCTAGGGCAAGGAGAGCCGCATTAACAGGATTTTTTTCCCTCCTGCAAATTGTGCTTATTCTGACCCAGAATTCCACCTGCTCTATAAATATGACACATATTTTCCTTTTGAGGAAATGAATGTGATCTGGGTCAGAATCTGATGTAGGCCTCAGTTGACAGTTACAGTATTTGTATGTCTCTATGCTTTGATTACAATTTGAAATTCCTCTGTTATGTCTTAAATATGACCAGGATATACGTAAGTGCTGAAACATATGACTTTCAGCATACTCTCCCTCTTCCTAAGCAAATTTGAATGCTTCGTGATTTTTCTTCATGTGTTAAAATAAAAATTTTTTCAATAATGTTTCAATATGTAAATGTTACATATTATTTAATACAGAGTTTCAAAGCATTTCAGTGGAAATATTATCATCAATATGTAACATCATCTGGATTCTTTATTTCTAGGATTAATAACTGAGAAAAATTTCTAACAGTTTCACAGTAATTTCTTCCTTCTCTTTATAGGCAATATTTACACATATCCATGTTTTTTTTTGTTTGTTTACAAGTCATAGGAAAGTATACAACTTGTACATTTGATTTTTGAAGCAATCATTCTATGGTTAAAGACACCATCCTGAGAATATCTATAACTCACCTATGAATTTTACACCTCTGAATTTTTTCCAGATTAATTGACGTGTAATTGAAAAATAACTGAATTTGTATAAATAAAACTGAATCGGAATCTGACCAGAAATAACTTTTCTTTTAAAGGTCCTTTTACTGGTGAAATTCAACTATTTTTTACCAACAAAATGAACATAATTTTATATGGTAAAAACATAAAATAAAATAAAAGGTCTTTGAGCTCAGATCAATTTTTGGTGCTCAGATTATTTCATTGTTTACATCTATTAAACAGCATCATAAATGTCTAAATTAGTAGAGCAGTTTTATCATTGTCTACATAGTTCAAATACATAA